TCGGGCCGTGGCGTCTTTGGGGTGGCTTGGGGTCCAGATACTCTTCGGTCGAGTTCCAGAGACTCTGGCTTCTTGGGAAGCTCCGGAGTGGACGTCTTTCCGAAATTTCCGGAAGAGATGCGCGATGATTTGGCAGGCGTGGCAGGCTTATCAGTCGACGACTGTCTGACCGGCGTCCTGGCTACTGGTCGCTCCTCTGATTTTCCGTTAGTCTTGGAAACCTCGGAGCTAGGAAGGACATGCTCTGGTTTCACCAAAGGAGCAACAGCAGCAGTAGGTACCTTCTCTTGAGCCTTTTCCTCAGCCTTGTCCTGAGCCTTGTCCTGAGCCTTGTCCTGAGTCTTTTCCGGTCCGGCAGTCGTGGATTTTGGCGCCCTTCGCTTCGGTCCCCGGGCGCGGCCCTTGGTCATGTGTTGCAGCTCTGGGGCGGGTCCAGTCTTCTCTTCTTGCGCAGGCCTGGTAGGAGACACGTCTACCTCAGCACTTGATGTAGACTTGTTCGTCGCAAGAGGCGGTGGACCTCGAGCGAGCATACCGGCTAGTGCAGGGTTGAAGCGACCCGCTAGCTTGCCAGACATGGCTGGCTCTTTTGTCGTAGAGGATGCGGGCTGTGCTGGCTTATCATTCATGATGGCCTTGTTTGCAGCTAAACTCTTCCTCCTGACCAGAGCTTCTGGTATGGGTTCTGGTTCTTTCGGAGCGCCAGCCTTTGGGTCACTGTCTGCTCGGCTCAGGCCCTTTTTCTTTGCAATAGCTTCTGGTGTTGGAGGAGATGGTTTCGATGCGCTGTCGGATCGCTTCAATGCCGAGCCCTCTTCCTGGGCCTTGTCAAAGATGGTGGATTTCCTCTTAATGAGGCTCTCCCTGAACTCGTCTTTCCGGACTGTAGGCTTGGGGCCACCAGTCACGTTAAGCGCGGTCTTCCCTCGTGTGATGTTATCCTTGAGCACGTCAGGCGCAACATAGTTCTTGGTTTCGGCCTTTCGTAGCCGGCCAAAGACGTTCTGCAACTCATTGACCTCGCCATCCTTCTTCGAATTGTCAGGCGGCGGTCGGCGTGGCTTCAACCCGGCGCGGAAGTCCTTCTTGGGTGGGGTTTTCGGCCTCGCCGCTGGAGACCCACGGCCTGTATCCTGTGTGAATCGCGATGCCACCGGCTTGGCTTCGGTGGGCGTTGCTGGCTGTTCAGCTGTTGGCGGCGGTGATTGCGATTTGGTGGGGGTAGGAGCGGGTGCTTCTACAGCAGCCTTTTCAGGGGCGTCCTTGACGACTTCAGGCTCAGTCGCGAGCTTGGATTCCGACTTCTTGGCGAACAAGGGCTTCGGTGCCAATGCGGGTGTTGGGCTGGGTGACTGCTCCTTGACTGTCTCCATCTTCATGGGCTCAGCGCCTTCCTCCTTCTTGGGGGACTCGGGTCTGCGAAGACCGACAGGCTTCAGTTGTATGTCCTTGATGGGCGAGGTGCGACCAGACGATGGCTCTCCGAATGGGCTGCCTTTCCCCAGATCAACACTGCTGCGCTGTTGCTTGATGCGGTTGATCTCCGCCATCCACGCAGGTTGCGCCGGCGCTGCTTGCTTGGGCTTGGGCGACTCTGGTCTGCTCAGCGCGCTCTCCAGCCAAGTCGACTTTGTAGGGCTCCACCGCTTCGAGGGGCTCGGGGGCGAGAAGTCGTCGTTGAGTGCGTCCTTGTCGCTGAAGGTGGATGCGACAGACTTGGCTCGGCTGTGACGGTGAGGGAGGGCTGGCTTCACGAACTCGTCTTTGGGTGCGCTGTCTTTGTCGGCGCCCGTGATGGTCGCATTGCTGTAGCTCGAGGCGGGACGTGAGGAGGACGAAGGTTCGATGGAGTTGTCTCTGCTCAGACTAGGTCGGTCGAGGCCGGAGAGTGAGCCGTAGCCTGTTATGGCACTTCCGCGGTTGCTCAGGGTAGAGTTTTGTCTGCTCAGGACTGGCGGTGTCTGGGTGCTCCACCGCTTGCTTACGCTATCGCTGCGCTTGAGCATGGCGCTTTGCACGAAGCCGCCCATGCCCTTGGTAGGCGAGGCAGATCGTTCCCGTTCGGGCGAAATCCTCCCTTGTGTCGGCGACATGGCAAGGGCGCGTGCGGCACGTTCGCTGTCCCCACCGTCGATCGAAGAGCCTTGTTCAGACGGCGGGGCGAACTTTTGCGAGTCGAGCGTTGGGAGAGGAGAGCGCCCCTTGGCGAGCGGCTCAGCATCGCCCCCTGATACCGACGTGTTGGTGGAAAAGCGGTTGCTCAGCATGGCGCTGCCGCGTACCGAGCCGCCGCGAGAGCCGGGCGAGCTGGAGCGTATGCTTTCGGCAGGCGGGCTGCTGACCTCGGGCTCTGTTGTAGACTCGCGTGACATGCCAGGCAGCTGTCTCCTGCCCGACACGGAGCCTGTCTCTGACGCCGCCTCGTCCTGGTTTTTCCTGTATGCCGCTGCGCCCCTTCCACTGTCCTGTGTCTGTCGGAAGAACGCTGGGTCCCTGGCGCCTAGCGAGGCGGCGATGGAGGTTCTGGAGGGATTGGCCTCGGGCGACGCTGGCGGCTCGGGCGTGTTGCTGGCTGATGGGCGCTCGGGGGACCGCGAGGCGACTGACAGCGGCCGCCGTATGCTGCCGGACTTGGGCCTCTGGTTCCACGATAGGGTGCCGGAGCGCCCCAATGCCGCGGCGCTGGTGGCGGGCTTCTTGGGCTCGGTGTCGTCGAGGGCGGAGGGCGTGGGCGAGCTCGTGAGGCGCTGCAGCGAGTCGTCGCGGGCGGCGTCTTGACTTGGCGGGCTCATGGCGGGCGTGGGCGTGCTGGCAGCCTTTTCCTGCACCGTTCGGGGCGTGGCAGCTTGAGAGCGCGGGGACTGGGGCGTATATGGCTTGTCGGGCGAGATGGAGCGGGCTCGCTCTGTTTGGGTCAACAGCCGTCGTGAACTCTAACGGGCATAAAAACAAACCTGCTCTGCGCGCTAGTCGCTCGCTGCGGCCCTGTATCAGCTCCTCCTCGAGCTTCTTGACACGCTCGGCATCTTCGCGGTCCCGCTGGTCGCCCAGCCGTTGAATCCGCTGCACAAACTCGGAAGGATCGATTTCCCTCTCGTCGGACGCCATGGTGCTTGTGGGCGACGAGAAAGGCAGGCTATCACAGGCCAATGTGCGCTACGGGAGTTATGCGCAAGGATTGAAGCTGCTCGGCAGTGAGATGAATCCCAGGCGGATCTGGGAGCTAGACGGTCGTTAAATTACTTTGACTCGGTTATGTCATTCCTAGCCAGAATGCTCGGGTATGTTTCAGATGCGATGTCGACGTAAGCCCGCGGACAGGTAGCACCAAATGAGCGAATGATGAAGAGAAGCAGCGAGATAGAGGGATGCAGGTCGTCCAGGCGGCCTCGATGGCTGTTTGTTTATACCATCGACGTCCAGCTGCGTGCGGCCGGTCGACGCCAGCTCCACACTTGGGCGGTTGGAGCTTGTCATTCGACTACCGCTATACTACCCGCATCCAGCCTTTGGGCTGCCGTGCCCCTGGCACCGCGATGCATGCCGACAAGCATCAATACAAGAACAGTCGCGCCTTTGCATCCTGCACCACCCACTCCAGCCCCTCCTGCAAGTTCATTCCCGTCATGGCACTGCACGCCATAATGTGCCATTTGTGTGTCTTGATAGCGTCGAGTCGCAGTCCCTGTACGCCGCCGTCAGCATTGGCCCGCCAACCAGGCTCAACATCTTCCTAAGCCCTCACCCACCTCGCGAATCTCGTCTTCCGTCATGGACCCCGGCACATCGCTCTTGTTTTTGAACACAAGCAGACTGGCTCCAGATAAACGCTTCTTTTGTTAGCTCGTGACGCTTGGAAGGGTTCATGCTTGTGCAAACCTCTTCCAGCAGCAACCCCGCCAATTCCTGTCGACAATCGTCTATCCGCTCGCGGTCAGTCGCATCGACAACCCAGATGAGCGTGTCAGTCTTCTCAAAATAGTTCTTCCAGTACGTTCGCAATGTCTTCTGGCCACCGACATCCCCTGTGCTGTTAGTACACGCTTGTGAGGGAACAACCAGGTGCAGTACATATATTGAGTTTGTAGCTGTTCCGTCAGTCTCATCAGGCGGCCAAGGTTTGTCATACGTACCCGTCATACTCGATCGTCTTGATGATGAAACCAAGCGTAGGGCTGACACTGTTCACATCCTCGTTCATGATCTTCTTCACGATGGTCGTCTTTCCCGCATTGTCAAGCCCACTGATGCAGTGAGCCTCCGATCTCGCAAAAACTCCTGGAATACGCACAGCATCAAGATTCGCATCTCCTTGTCCTTGAGACGCGCCTTCCGTAGTATTGACAGCATTTTGTGTGTTTCACTTTCCGGGTTCTGTCTGTCTGTCAGGCAGTCAGTCGAGCAAGTGTGGAGCTCGTTCCTTTATCGGCTAAACTGTTTACGGACACTTGCATCTGCCCAAGTGACGGTATTGCATGCTAAAGTAACAACACCGTTATCACGTTGCCTTCCAGCAATTTCGGAAATCTTCTATCTCGCCTGCCACTTTATATCAGTGATTGTAATCTGGGAAATCGTTCAGGAAGTTTCCTCTAATTATCCGTTCGTCGATTTCATCAGATAGACGTTCATTTGTTGTCTTAAGACACTGTATATTTAGGCACGTCTTGATGTCGCATCGGTAAATCTTTCCGTAATGTTCTGTCTCCATCGTGGCTGCCTGCAGTTCTCGGTAGGCACTAGCGGTAAACACGTGGGTTGTGTCATGGCAAGGTAAAATTCAATGAGGAAAGAGGTGAGGTGAGGCGAAGCTGGCATGCTCTCGCCAAACCTATTAGGCAGACTCATCACTAGCAAACCGTGACTCAGGCCTTTTTGGATGCTTCTACATCTCAAGGATATCTTCTTCTTCTTCATTTTGGTCGCTCCTTCTGCTCCCATCAGCATTGTTTGGGGCCCTCTTGTTCTCTTCCCAGTCAGAAGTGTCGGAAACCTGCATCATGAGCCGCACCGCGCGTAATTGGTGCCCGCGCAGTACACTGCCTCCACTGCCTACATTGATCGAGCTGGACGATGCTACGGTCAAAGATGCTCAGGTCGACACGAAGCTCGCCAAAGAACCCATGACTGGGCAGCAGGAAAAGGACTTCGGAAACCTCTCGGTAAGTGAAGGCGCACCTCGCTTCCCGTGCCGACTTCATACCGCCCCAGAGTGACGGCGTATAAGTCTTGTCACTTGCACCCAGTCTTCCCACTTTACCAACTCTTACAACACAACTAACACACAACACTAGCTTAACAAGCCTCAATCTGGCCATCGTCACTGGGTGCCATTCGCAGCTGAGGAGAACGATCCCGTACAACCAGACGACCCGGATAGCTGGCTAGCTCGGCAATCCGAATTCTCTAACGTACCCAAGCAACCGCGTCGAAACGGCCGTGGTAAGGCAGCCGCTCACCACGCTAGTACCGTCGAACCTGCCAACCTTACTTCTCCAACTACACCCCGCGCCACGGACCCAGAAAATAATCACAAGCCACCTAACAAGAGATCCCCGCGCAACAAGAAGAAGAAGATTGGCAACAACATGGCCGGGCCATCCAACGGAAAAGCGAGTGTTTACGTCCCTCCTCACCTCCGCAACCGCAGCTCTGCCGACGGTGGAAAGGCAGACTCTGCCCATGGCAGCGGGGTTGCTGTCAATGGATCGCCTTCTACGTCCAACCAGTCGAAGCTAGCGATGAACGGCAAGCCTGATCTTATCTCGTAAGTCTACCATCGCGCGCCTCGATGCCGTGACCCACCTCATACAATTCAGCTTTACTAACACGTTTGCAGCAACGGTGCGAATCATCAGCAAGATTCGTCTTCTTCGTCACCAACAACGTCGCGCGGCAATGGAAAAAACGGGCTGCGTGGATCTGCGATGCCTGAGCCCACCACCTACAACGGCTGGGACCAGCCCAAGGCCGAGTCTCCACCCACTACCAAAGCTCCGGGAAATCCACGATGGCCTCGAGGTCCACAGCCTTTCAAAAAGACAGTCTGGCCCAAGTCAAAAGACATGAAGTATATACCCTCAAGCAGCGACAGTGATGGCGGCGTCAGCTTCAGGTCTAACAGCAATGGAGACCCGGATTACGACATCAAGAAGCTTACAGACTGGAATGGTGACTGGCTGCCCGCCCCTGAGACATGGACTGGACGCAAAGGTCATGCAGACCGCCATTTTGGTGCTCATATAGAGAAGTGGTGGAACACACACCCTCCTGAATGCATCACGCCAGTGTACTTCCCGCCCGACACATTCGATGCTGGCAAAGAGTTGGCACCTCGTTACTGGCTCGAAGCAAAGGTTGGGGGTGAAACTCTCAGAGAGTTTTGGCAGACGATGTTAACTACCGAGTCTGAGCCAAAACTCATTGATGAGAACGATCTCGTCGACTACATGCCTTGGTGGGAGCTTTATGAGGACCTAGTCTACGAAGAGATCATCGAAGATGAAGAAGGCCAGAGCCCGAGGCGAATCACACACGAGTCTAGCTACATCCACGCTCTGAAGGTACCGGATGCTAGGGTCAACCATTACGATGAAAAATACCCTTCTGCACCTGAGGAATTGGCTTCCGCTGAAGAGAAGGTTCAGGAAAAGAACAGACGTGTAGAACAGAAGCGCAAAAAGACGATGGCAAAGCGGAACCGGCCTGTCCCAGAGTCAAAGTTCCCCGTTCAACCCATGGTAGATCGCCGGCTGCGTCCTGAAGCCAACATATACATTCGCCCTATCCAGGCTTCGGATGTTCTGGGCATCACAGTAAGTCGATCATGCTAGATCACTAAATAATAATGTCTTGCTGACACCAGCTATAGGAAATCTACAACTTTTACGTCAGGGACACCATCTTCACGCCCGAGTTCGACGAACGCGATGTGACTCAAATTGCTGCGAGGATCAGTGACATCACCAGCGCAGGTCTTCCTTTTCTGGTAGCTGTGTCCAAGAGCAATCAGCACAGGCTCGACCCAGGCTATAAGAGCGAGAAGATTGTCGGCTTCATCAACCTCGACGACCACTGTGGTCAGGCGACTCAATATCGCTATACATTCGATATGGAGTTATTTGTCCACCCGGGTTTCGTTTCCAAGGGAATCGGCAAGTGCCTCGTGGATCGACTTCTGGAGATGGTTGATACTAGCTATCGCGCCCGCGGTGGCTACGAGTATATCAACAACTTCGACTATCTCAAGACAGGGCCGTCAAGAGTTGTCAAGACTATCTTGCTCAACGTTCACCACGAGAATGGCGATGACTTGGATGCTGATTGGCGAGGCAATTTTCTAAGCGCTTGCAAGTTTATCCGAGTTGGTAGACTTCCGAAGGTGGGATACAAGCACGACAAGGTTATCGACGTCTCGATCTTTGCGCATCATACCAAGGAGGATATCGATCCGAGCGCTCGTCCCACTGTATCGGGCTGAACACGGTAGTACATGTTACTGCCCACAACAGTAAGTGGCTCAAGCTCATATTAGATATCAAACGCTGACATTACAGTTGCAAGACGACTTCGCCGTAGCGTCAATCGTTGAGAGCTGCAGACAACGCGGACTGATTGAGCGTCTCCTCTTGCACATCAAAAAAGTGTTTTACCAGATTGTTTGTTCTTGCTTTGCGTACTGCGAGTTCAGGGTGGAAAATGCGTCATCCTAATGATGGAACGGAGTTTGCTTCTTCCTCCTCGCTGTCCTTGTGTGTGATGGAAACACTTGCATCGGGCGGAGTTTTGCGCATATGGACGTCGATGGAAGACAGGTTCCGAGCGGTGCTCTCAGTGCCTGCTGCCATGCTCACTATATCATGTGTTCTTTCCTACGAAAATTATATGTCTACTCTCAAATATGGATTCCTCGATTGGTGCAATGACCGCGGTGATGTCGTCAACCTTCTTGTCGCGTACCGTACCCCACCAAAAAGTAAGGGAGCGCGTCAAACCTCCCCACTCATGACAAGTGACGTCACAACCACCCCGAAGCTTGGAAACGCGCCGCGCCGCGTAACCTGCGCAACTAACATAAAGCCGTTGCGCTCAAGACCCTTAGGCAACTAACTCCATAAACTCCTAGCTTCTACCGCATTTTCACATTCTTGGAATAAACAATCAACAAACCTACACAATCCAAGCCGCGAGAAAGTCAAGAGCCGAAATCGTTCATCATGTCAGACAAGGAAGAGCCGCAGCAACAGCATATCCAGACTGAGCCCCAGAATGACGAGCAAGAGGAGAAGAAGGGCTCTGGGGGTCTTTTGAGCAAGGTTGGAGACCCTATCGGTACGCCTCCTTCCCACCCTCCATTCTCCATATCACCACCACACTCCCACCATACCTCCCAATCCACCCAACCCATCCAACCCCCCTCTAACCCACCCCTCCAGGCAACGTCCTCGGCACAGCCCTCCGCCCCCTCGGCGCGCCCCTCGAAAAAGGCGTAACAGGCCCCCTCGGCAACGCCCTCGGCGGCACCACACGGCCCGCTCTCGGTCCCCTCATGGGCCACGAAGAAGAAAAGTCTGAGCTGCTGGGCGGCCAGAACAAGGATAGCTATGAGAGTAAGCCGGAGAGCATTGCGGGGAAAGAGCAGACGGGGCAGAATCCGCTGGGTCTGGATCAGACGGGGCGGTGGGGGTTCCAGGATGAGGATGGGGGGAAGAAATAGGGGATGAAGGGGTGTGGGAGGATGGTAAGGGGAGGGGAAGGGTGTTTATGTTCGGGATTGTGGTGTTTTAGTAGAGAATGATAAGGGTATATTTCTTAGAGAGCGCCAAAACTCCACAGCTGCAGTGCTTGAGTGTTAGAACATCTCGCTCATACCACTCTCGCCCAAGACACCCTCTTCGTATAGACTCTGCCCCCTCTCTTCGCCTTCTCGATCGTCATGTGTATCTTCCCTCCCCCCTTTCCCTCTAAACGTATCATCCAACCCCTGCACCGTACCTACACTATCCCCAAACTCATCTTCCTCCATCCTTTCTTCCTCCCTACTATCCCCGTTCAACTCGGGTATCGGCGTCCGTCCAGTAAGTATATCGAACAAACTGTCGTCCGACTCCTCCTGCTCATCCTCATCATCACGCTCAAAGCGTAGGATCTTATCTTTGCCTTCCGGCCACACCAGTACATGTGCTTGCTGATGTCCGAATACGAGTGCGGGTTTCTTGTCTGGCGAGGTGAAGAGCCAGGTTGTTGACCAACGGGGTGGTGCTGAGCCCGCTGGTTTGCCGATTTGCGAGGACAATGTGAGAATAGCTGGAGGGTGCTGGAAAGAGGATTGGTGGGCGGATGTGGAATGAGAAGTGGAGGATGACGGTGAATGAGAGGTAGCGGCTGTGTAGAGGTATACGGTGGGTTCGTCTTGGGTCGTCTGGATGAGCAGGCGGTTTGGATCGGTGGGGTGCCAGAGCAGGTTCTTAACTGGACTGTATTGAATTATTATGCACCGAGGTCGGAGCACGGTTAGGTCCCAGATCCAGACTGTACATGGTGTGCTATCGTCGCGTGTGGCACATAACGTGCCATCTGCGTTAAAGGTCAACATGCCGATACCCTGCTTCATGAGTCCGGTTTCGTTCTTCTCCAAGGCTGCTTTTGGAGGTGTGACAGGCTGCTGCGAGGTTGTGAAGCTGCGGTTGCCCTGGCTGTCGACATGTTCGCTGTATACAGGCGCGCTGGGCACATCGATGGCGGGTGTGTGGTCCAGGAAAACAACCGGAGCGAATGTTCGTGTAGAGAGGATACGGACTCGACGGTCCCAGCCACCGACAGCTAGACATTCGTTCCCAGGCACCCATTCGAGCGTCTTGATGCCCAAGCATTCCACATCCCACTCGCTGACGTCGTCTGAGGGTTCGCGGGTCATAGCGCGATACAAATGTCCGTCAGCAGTGTAGATGTGGAGTTTGTAGCCAGCAGAAGCTGCGTCCCAGACGGCCAGCCAGCGTCCATCGCGACTCCATCTCAGCCCTGCCGCATCGCTTGTCGTAAGTTCGACACGATTGATGACCTTGTATGTGCCTGGAGCCAGGAGCAATAGAATATCAGCGCCTGCTGCGCGACATAGCAGTGCCAGAACGCCGCCTCTCCGTCTTCCACCCCTTGAGTCTGTATCTTCGCCTGGCCGATAACCCCACCCCTTTCCGTCTTTGCCTACAAATTTCGGGTCGCGTATTTCTACAGCCCTGCCAGTCTTGAGACACCATATCTTGGCACATGCGGTGAAGTCGCTCCAGACGATGACTTCATCCTCGTTTGCGCCAAACTCGGCATGCACGTTCTTGCCCATGCCGCCCGAGCCATTGCTTATCACGGCGTTCCACTTTTCGTCGCGAAGATCGTATACGCGCGTTGTATCGTCATCTGATATGAGGACGCGGTTGGAGCATGGCCGTGGTGTGCGTGAGGATCGACGGGGTGGTGTCGAGTTGGGTGAGGGTCGCGACGTGGACGAGGCCAGCGGTGGTAGGGTAGGTGCTGACCAGGCGATTCTCGAGTTTCTAAGATCATGACTTGGAGGTATCGCTATACTCCGCACGATTTCTAACGTGGTAAGACAGCGTATCTGCAAGCGCGCGCCATTGAGGCATGCGACGTGTGTCGTGGTCGGTGATGGGACGGAGGCATTAGTCGCTGGCACTGATCAGTAACTGCCGAGGCTAGGACCTTCGCGTTCATGCTCACACTTGAATTGCGGGGTCACGACGATGTCTTCCATCGTCAAAACAGTCTTATCAAGCATGCGACGAGAATGTTTGGATTCGGTAAACAAGGGCAGGTGCGGATGTAGGCCAATGGGAGTCCAAAGACGCCGCAATTAGCGTGGTTTCGGGCCTCGAAGCTCAGTGCTGCGGGCGGTCCAATAGCGAAATCCAACACGTTCACTCAAGCGAAGCCGCTCAGAAAGCAAGACCTCTTTCATTTTACCAGAGAATTTGTTCTTATTCCAATCATAACCGTAACAGCAACGAGGGTATCGGCATGCACTCCAAGTTGACCAAGAAACGCTCCAAAACACGCCATCAATCGTCCTGGGTATACTTTAGATGTAGTAGATCTAATCTCAGAACCTAAGCATATTTTGTAGAAGTGGAAAAGGAAATAAAACAAACGCTTGCTTGCTAGATCGCTCAATCCAAATCGTCCATCTTCATTATCATTGTCGCATCAGGGCCGCTCATGTCTGGTACACTGGCGCCTTGATCAAAATGCTCTTGCCGCGAATCTGTACAAAGACACCGGCGGCCATACGCACACGTGGTGGCGGCGCTTCGTCCTTTGGTCCACCAGAGCTACCCGGCGGATGTTGCGTAAGACTTTGCTGGCTGCCACCTTGACCGAGCGACGATTCGCGCTTGCCCAGAGTAGCAGGAGAAGCCGTCGGCTTCTTTGACCCACCGAAACCGAACATGCCGCGCTTCTTATCTTCTCTTGGTGGTTGGCTTCCCTGTAGCTGTGCTTGCTCTTGTTCCACCAACGACATGTTGTCGTCAGGTCTGGAAGCCATGCTTCTGATCGAAGCTCTGTCGGCATCGTCCCGCTCCACGATGGGTGCCGTCAGCGCGGGGATGCCGGACTCAATCTTCATGAAATCGGGAACGATGCTATGATCAGGATAAAAGTACTCGATGTGTACTTCACGGCTTTCAAGGGGCAAATGTTGCGCGATGCTAATGGCGAGTTCGATGATCATAGGCACACCTCCATTGAGATCTGGAGGCGCAGGGTCATTCAAGTGCATTTGGAGGAACGCAATAAGCTTCTCGTTGAGTGTTTCAGTGAGCGCCTCGCGATTGGCTGTGGCCTGTGGTGCTCTCAAAGTGTCCGCAAGGCCCTCCAGCGTGGCCAGCCGCCAGTTGATAATCTTCGCAGCGAGCGTGTCTTCATCCTCGGCGCTATGACATGGCGGCGAGAACTTGCGGATGTTGGAGACGATCGATTGCAGTTGCGTCGAAAAGCCCGGCTCGAGGTCTGGGTGGAAGTACTTTTCGAAGATGTTCTCCACCAGCCACTGCGAGATGACAGCGCGGCCGATAGCCGTCATTTCTTGCTTGCCTGTCTCAACAGCTGTCTTGTTGACCACCTTGTGTAGCCACGAAGGTATACTCTTCCAGTCTTTGCGAATTGAGAAGGACAGCTGTGCTATCAATCCGTCCAATCGATTGAATCGTGTTGCATATTCGCTGTCATCCCAGGATGTACGAGACAAAGACAAACGCTGGTTTGCGAGGGTGTTCTGTAGCTGATGGACCTGTGACTGCTGCTCGAAAAAGTATCGCTTGACCTTTTGGTACTTTTCGCCTGTATTGTGTTAGATGCAATCAACTCGTCCAAAGAGACTGTACTCACGCAAGACATCGTGCTCTTTTTGTAGCTTCTCGATTTCCTCCTCTGACATATCGGCGACAGATGTCCTCGGCGGTGGCGTTGCCCGTCCCATTTCTGAGACCTGCTGGGGCTGCTTCTCACCGCGGTATGGCTGTCCTTGCGAAGCTGTTGGAACGACGTTAGCGTCGAATGTTGCCAGGCCCGGCGACACGGGCGGCTGACCGTGGGGCTGACCTTGAGCGGGAGGCTGTGAAAGCATGGACGACTCTCGCGACGTTGCGCCCGGCTGTGGTTGGCTGCCATCGTTCGCTTTCCTGATGGTGTTCCTAGCACTGCTCTGAGCACTAGGCGCCATGCTGTCGTGCGCGTGTGGGGGTGTTATGTTGGTCGGCAGTAGATCGGACGACTGGGGATGCTGCGCGTCGTAGGTCTGGTGGGACGGCGGCTGGAGGGGAGACGGCGGGGCGAGCTGGTGGGACGAAGGGGGACGGCGCTGCGACTCGATCGACTGGGCCTCTTGCGCGATCTGAGGATGCTGGCGAGACGCCTGTGGGGGTTGCAGGTCAGTCTGCTGCTGCGAGGCTGGCCGGCCAGGTTGAGGCTGTTGCTGCTGGTCTTGATGCGGCTGAAGCTGCGACGCAAACTGCTGCGGATACAGCGTGTTTTGCTGCGCGTTGTCTAGCGGCGAATGGCCCTGGGCCTGGAGTTTAGCTTGCTGCTGTTGGTACAGGTAGTAAGTTTGCTGGATGTCTTGCGAGACTGGGCCACCTTGCCCGTGCAGCTGAGCGTTCTGGAGCAGAGGGCTGGGCACGGTTTGTGGGTTGAAGGCCTGGTAGTCGCCCGAGGCTTGTGGGTGCTGGACAGCTGGCTGGTAGCTCTGGTATTGCTGTTGCTGTTGCTGTTGCTGGTGCCGTGGCTGCTGGAGACCCTGGCCCTGGTGTTGCTCAGGGCTGTATTGGTCTACCCCGCCTTGGGTCGAATAGCTTCCCTCCGTGCTTACCCTGTCAAGTGGGGGCCGATTGTACGGCTGCTGTTCCTGACGCGGCTGCGGCGCAAACTGCTGAGGCTGCGGCAGGTTCTGTTGGTACTGGATGTCCTTGGGCGGTACCTGGGGCGTATCGTCTTTCTGCAGGAAGGGATCGAGGTTGTCTTCGTCCTGCTCGTTCGAGGCGGGCAGATGGGAAGTCGACCCTTGGTGCTGGTGCCACTGCTGCACACGGCTCTCTTCCTGCGCCTGATACTCCTGCGCGCGGGGGTCGCTCTTCCGGACTGACTGTCGTCTGCCCAGGCCGTTCTTCTGTGCTTTGGCCTCCTGATCTTTGTGCCCTTTGACTCCGGCTGCAATGCGACTGCGCAGCGATGGCTTCTTGGCTTCTGGCGTGTATGCAGAAGGCGCAGGCTGGGGCTGATAGGGGCCGCGATGAGGCGATTCAGCACCAGACACTGGCGCGGGGCCGGGTTGTTGCTGGTAAACCTGCGACGGCGACGACTGACCTAGAGGGAGATGGGAACTCAACCTGTGACTCGTCGTGCGCTGAGGAAACTGTTCTCTATATTGGCCCTGTAGAGGAGCGCCAGCCGAGACCTGCTGTTGTTGCACAGGAGGCTGCTGAGCCTGTACAGGCGCCTGCTGGCTGTCTGAAGTATGGTATCGCTGCGCGGCGACGTGCTCATTCACTGCCAGCGCTTGCCCGTCAGCGGCGCCGGCGATTGGGCGCCCAAATGCTTCCTTACCAGGTGGTACGGGCGAATGCTGCCCTGACGAGGAGATGTCGACAGATTGGTGCGACCGATTCGACTTGGTCCATGGAAAGTTAGGCATTGCAGTGTTGACAGCTTCAAGCTCCGCCTCAGAGCAGGTTGTCGATGGCGGGGCGGAGACGACGCGCTCAGCTAATAATAAAACGAGACTGAGCAACCATAGACTATACCCGGGTAAGACTGCATCGCGCGGTTGGACAGCTTTCCTCAAGTACAATGCATCGAGCTACATAGATGCACGGCGTAGGTGATCAGCCCAAGCCGCCGCACGTGCAGGCATGCGGAACTAATGGAATGACATGGAGAAGGCAAGACCAGTCCCGGAGCAGCTAACACCGGACCAAGTTGCTGATATCGCGAGCCGTGGCAGTGCTCTATTGCCAATTCCCTGCCTCTAACGCCTTTCTGCTGTTCAAGGCTTCCAAGGCGCAACCGACGTTTCGTCTTCCCCGTTCTGTGCCTGCACTCCCGCCTCCCAGTGACACAGAAGACGACAGCAAACGTCGCTGGATCCAGATACATACACTGTGCCCATAGCCCGGCGGATGGAACCTGCAAACAAGAACGCCAAGTGGGGACAGCAGCTGTTAGTCTAGGCGGCGTTGCAAGCCCTCCTCTGCTCAACGTGCCTGAAGCTGCAGCCGCCCCTGCGTATCGCCTGGGGTATGCAAACTATACATCTCGCGTCTCATTATTGTACACTGAGTGTTTTGCTTTTCTTGTGCGATCGTGACATTTGCGACGTGTTTGAAGAGCTCAATGCCTAGAGTGGCAGATTGCATCATCACTATTACGGACTATCTCAAAGCGAGCGGATTTGCATCATCTCGCTCATGTTCCCTCAGCTCCGAAAAATGTCATGGGGCTATTTTTGGCGTCTGACATGTGCTAGCCGCGTTAGACTAGCTTGCCTATCGTTTCGGTTCTGATGCCTGTGTAAGGTTTCCTGAGCTTCCACGTTGCACCACTTTCACACAAATCTCAACACAAGGCTGAGGTCTCGAAAAGCTGACCATCAGCCACTTCATGCACGCAATATAGCCAAACTCAATTGTCGGTCTCTCCGACACCTTACCGGCATTGACCGGACAACAAACGACGCGAACCTATGCCGGTGAGGCGGTTATGCACGCCTCCTTGGAGGTGCGTGGGGACTACTGTATGCGCAAGTGCGGCGCTGCCAGGAACGATCTCTGTATGAGACATTATTACGCGCTTCTCTTCTCGATCGTACTTCTAGTATTGATGTAATGCCGAATCATCTCGCAAGAGCGTACTAAGACCTCAGGTAAAGCGAACCCCGATATTCGCACGCGCGCGAGCTGGTTATTACCGCAATACTTCTCAACAAGAGTAGATTCTCATGTCGGTACCGTATGGATTGCGGAAGTTGTAGGCAGCTCGTCGTCACGGATCATCGCGCTACCACTGAATGACAACCAAAATGTAGCCTTGTGATCTCGCACAAAGCGTCTATAGGCAAACTTTGACTACGACTAAGTGAACTTTCAATCAGTACGTAATGGGATTGCGCAATTCTCAATTCCGTTGCCCGAAACTTCTCCACTGAAACTTTACGAGCGTTGTCCTTACTACGACCACTTCAATACAAACTACAGATTTCTCCAACCTTCTCTCTCGACCATGGCCGATCAACAGGTGTTCCGATTTCTCGATCTACCCACAGAACTGCGCTTGATAGTCTACAAATTTCTCCCAATCAAAACGGTACACCATGTCGTTCGAACCAACGATTTTGCTTTCTGGTTCAACAACTCTCACTATCACTCTACTCACTTACCTGAGCGTTTTCTCGAAGAGGGAGCACATTTCCAGACTCCCACCTCGAAATGGCCTGTATACTCCATGACGATAGTTTCCAAGAAGGTCCCCGGCCTAGCGATCCTCGGTACCAGTCAAAAGATCCATCTAGAAGCCGGTGAAGTGTTACATCCAAAGTTACGAGCCATCAGCAAATTACCAGCACAGATTATCGTCAACAGTATTTCTCTGGGCAGTTTCGCCATGGTTGATGTGGTGACTCGATTGTCATACGCAAACACGACCTATTGGACAAACAAAAGCCGTCTCCTAGACTGGCGCGTAGCAGCACCTGAGTTGCGCCCAGGCAACGAACCCAGATCTCGACCCGTTCACGTAGCCATACGCAATTCGTTCATCGACAGAGACACAGCCGACGCGTCGACAGACAACTTCAGAATGCAGTGCCTGCGGAATTGCTTCTATTGGTCACTTAGAAATGAATCAGCCATACATGCCGCGAGCTGCCCTACAGACGGCTCCTTTCCGCACATTGACCAGCATTTACATCTCCGTATGGCTGGATTGACTTCGCAGGAGGAAAAGGCTTACGACACATTTCGACCTCTGGATCGTGAAAGTTTTGGAAGATGCTGTCGTTGCAGGTCTACCTCGCTCATCGACAGCGGTGAGATCATTGGTGAAGAGGAATGGGAGGACGAATGGGCAGAACATGAGAGCTATCAATAAGGGCTGTGATCGTTGGACAACGAAGAAGAGAAGTCGTCTCACGCATGGGGAGGTCGAGCTGGACACTACTACTCAATCTTTTCGACCGACCATCGATAACAATGGACGCTGAGAACGGAACCTGAAAGGAAACTCGAAAACGACTTCCGTAGAAGTATCAGTTGCGTCACACAATACACTAATCTCAAAGTAATCTTACCTTCACTTCTACTTCGGGTCTGTGCGCTCACCGATTGTACTGCGCCTAAATGGCACTCATTTTCCATTGGTACCTCTCACCACACCGTATCAATACGTTACCCAGGTTGACCCAAGCGCCGTAACCTCAAGCAACCTAACGAGGTCTTTATACGCCGAAATCATGAAGATATCAACCACCGACCTACCTCCGCCTCAGACTGCCACGATGGAGTCATCAGAACAACCACGCCGCCCATTATCCACGCTACTATACCCAAGAACAGGGGAAGTGCCGTCAGCATTCGAGCCGTCACCCCAACTCCCGGCAATCCCACAAGAACAAGAGCCACCACCATACCCACCTTCACCACCGTCAAAAGCGCATCAAGACCATCCAACACCACCCTCACCACCAACCTCCCCACCCCTCATCGTCATCCACCCCGTCCCAGAACCCACCTCACCTGCCTCACCAACTTCGCCTTTCCCAGACAGCCTCCCACCACGCCCCCAACCCGCACAAAACGGAACCCTCATCTCCCGCCTCTTCAAGCGCGCACCCGCCCACCCCGATGACATAGAGCTGGGTCACCTTCGGCGCGGACACACACCAGAGACTCCTGTTACGGACGCGGAGAAGGAACGAGAGTACAGGAGGAAGAAGGTGTTGTTCATTTATATGATTTGGGGAGTGCTTCTCGTGCTTGCGATATGCGGGATGGTGGTTGGAGCGCAGATGTATAGGGGGAAGGTTAATGATGAGGGTGGTGGTGAGAAGGTTAATAATTTTGAGATTGTTGATGCGGATGGGGAGGTCGTGGGAGGTGGAGGCTAGAACGATGAAGAGTGGTTAGAGTTTCAGGAAGACATGGTGCGAGAAGCTTATGCTAGGTATGCTTCGTCATATGACTCTTGCTATGAGGAATTAAAGATGTACTCAATGTCAATTGACATCTCGCATGGACTTGCACGGCAGTAGTTAGAGTTCAAGTGTCTTCAGACATAGTCCTGGTTCTGTGTCACCTTCACTATCTCGCTTACTCAACCCGTCTTTGCTAGCTCGACTCCGATTGACCAACAGCAGACCACTCCGCTCGCTGTCCGCTGCGCAGGAAACAACGTCCCTCAACGTACCCAATCTGTGTACTGCTACAGGTACGCCGTATAGAAGCATTGATAGCTTCCTTTGTACTGACATTCTAGCAGAACCACCGCTCTCTACCGCCATGGCTCCCAACCACACCAAAACAGACCAGCCCGTCTACCTCCGCATCTTCGGCTTTGATCTTCATTGCGACGCCGTCACGAGCAATGCCCCCAACACTTCTCAAGTCGGCCACGTAGCTACCCACAATGCCTACCGCACTCAATACGCTGTCGAGCCCTACCACTCTGTCTCAGCAGCAGAACACTACCGCGATCAGCGCAACACTGGGCTACTCTACATCTTGATGGCAGCTGGCGCGGCAACAGCTCTCGTAATTGGAATTGCAATGCTCCTATTCGGATTCATGCTGTTCATGTTCGCTGTTTGTTGGATTGTGGCATTCATGGTCGTTGTAGGATTGATGTGCTCGGTCATGTAAGGTGGGTAAATAATGGGTGAGAAGTAGACCAGCAGTGTGAACGACGGGAAGGAAAACAGGATACATAGCAGAGCTTGCTCATACTGATAAACGAGAGATGTAGAGCAGATTCCAGTCAGCACGCAACTAGAATAAAGTTTCAAGCTCGAGAACGGATGAGAAGAAAATCGGGTATGCTAGATGGTGTTATTTGCTGTATATGCATGAACTCAAAACATGCACTCAGTCTCATCCGACAGTCCAGGTGATCTCGCAGTCCGGAAGTCGCGTTCGGGCGTGTTTAGATCTAGTCCGGGCGCTCTTTCCCTCCCACGTTGCCGCCTGCTCACTATTTCCTCGTTCCGCTAACTCTCTTATATACCACCGCTCAATACTCCTTCCACTCACTGCTGACGGCGCAACATCCAGAGTATCTATATTGCCCTTTCCCACGCTACCATGAGTCTGCCACCCACTAGCACCTGAAACGCATCTTCCTAACTTGCCAGCAGAACGACCACTTCCACCCGCTATGAACGCCTCCGATGGCGAAACCGACTACTCCACGGATGATACCCCCTCGAGCACGGGGTCTGACGACGGTTGGGTCGACTTTGGCTGCGGCGATTTGTACAAGAACATCTGCGGCGGCGACGACGACGACGACGACGACGACGACGACGACGACGACGACGACGACGACGACGACGACGACGACAACAGCAACAACGACAACAAAGACAACAAAGACAACGACGATCACGTTCACACTCACACCACCTACATCAAGATCAAGTCCAAAGACGGCGCATCCAGCCGGGTGAAGCCGCCCACCGTCTCTGTCAAACATCGTTCGCCTCATTCCAGAGTAAAGCGCCGGGATTATACCAGTGATCGCGAGTTCACCGTCTGCTTCCTCATGATCCTGGTCATTCTGGCACTCTTGTTTCCTGAGGGAGCATCTGTTTCCTTCAAGGTTATGGGCTTCGTACTGGCCGAGATTACATCAATTCTGTTCGAGGGAAAAGTTCTCCGGTTTGTATTAGCTGTAGTGTTGTTTGTTGCGGCGTCCGTAAAGCGGCAGGGCTGAAAACAAGCAGAATGGGAGAAAAGGAGCAGGAGACAAAGAACAAGGGTATCAAAGGGAAGGGGATGAAATGAGACGCACTTGTTCATATTCAGCGGAAACACAGATCGCTTCAACGCGCATGCATCATGGAGACAAAATCGAAGTTGCTAGATGGTATCATTTGCTGTATATGCATGAGTAGAGCGAGTCAACTACTACTGGGTCTCCTCCACATATCCCAAAGCCTCTCCAACCTTGACCTTCATTCCTTGCTCAATATTCCACTTGAACCCACCCTTCCTCTCCATACCAGTGAAGCCCTCGTCGAGACTGGGTCTTATACCCTTTGGCGCCTCGAACACCAAAACGATTGTACTTCCCAGTTGGAAACCACCCATCTCTTCGCCACGCTTGAGAGAATAACCGCCTAGTACGCGACTAGCGGAGGTGTAAGAGGCCTCGGCGAAACCGGAGTAGGGTTCTCCCCTCGCTGCAGCGTCTTCGGCGGCGCGGTCAGCGGCAGTGTCGGTGGTGAGGCTGTTGGTGCGGAGTTCGCGATCGAAGTTGATCTTGATGGATCCGACGTTGGTCGCGCCGACAGGTGTGTAGGAGAAGAAACCCCAGCGCCAGCGACCGAGCAGGACAACGCGCTCGTTCAGGGTAAAAAGACCGGGCATGGTGCGTTGTAGGTATGGGGATACGCTGTATAGTTCACCAGCGAAGTGACGGCGCGATTCGACGACCCATGAGACCGGAGAGTGAAAACGATGGTAATCGCCAGGCGCGAGGTATACGACACAGTAGTAGAGTGCGGTAGGTGTCTTATTGGATGCGGGTGCCCACCATGGGCGCTCAGCTTCGCTCAAGGCCATCTCGGCGCGTACCTCGGCTTCAGATGAAGCAGCCGGTGCGGTGGACTGATCCGTAGGCATTTCAGATGGCTTTCCGCCTTTTGGCCATGGTCCTGAGAACAGGTTGGGCAAGGTATACGAGATGCCGTTCACGTTTGCGAATTCCTCATCTGCGCGGACAGTATCCTCTTCGTCCTTTGCGGTCTTCTCATGCTCGCTTGTGACGACCTGAGAGTTCGCGACGTTTTGGGCGGGTGTGCTGGGCTTGGTGGAGCCTAGAAGCGCATCTAAGCTATATGTCACGCCTTTGACTTGTTCGACTTCGCCGTGCTCGATGGTGCCGAATTGGATGACTTTGCCGTCTGCGGGAGAGAGGACGGCGTTGGGGTTGGGGTCGAGAGGGCGGACTCCGGGTTTTAGGGTGCGGTAGAAGAAAGCAGCGAGGTTAGGGTAGACGTGGAGATCGGGCTCGGAGACTTCAGAGAGGCTGTGGCTTGTTAGCATTGGATGTCACTACTAGGGTGATGGTTGCTGACTTGACACCGAAGATCCAAGAGTAGAGCTTGAAGCCGGGTACGCGAAGGTAGTATGGAATGTCGATTTCGTTGAAACGTCCCCAAACTCGCGAGAGGGCCTTTAGAGGTAGCGTCGACATGACCTGGACCGTCCAGGGTCCGCTCGGTCGTATCCTTTCGCGCTTCTTCGGTCGGCCCTGGTTGTCCACTGCACCTTCCTCGCCATTCTGTCTCTCAGTCTCGGTGTGCTTCTCCCTCCGTTGTATGCGATAGAGCTGGAATGCGCCGAGGAAGCCGACGCCGAGTGCGATTGGTATTGGCTCCCATTTTATCTTGGTGTTCTTGAGTGCAGAGTTCAGCCGTGATCTGAAGGACTCTTTCCTGTGGAAGTTCTGCTTGTCACATGTTGCGCGTGTCGAGGAGAAGGTGCGAGACGGGAAGGAGAGGCGCGCCTGTCGGTGTGCGGGAGTTTGGAATCGCGGGCGGAGAGGGGCTCGCATGAGCTGGCGCGAACAGGAAGACGCCATGGCTATGTTGTATGCATCGGTCTCGAATATTGCAGTGCAGAAGACGGCCAATTCCCCGGCGACGAGATGACGGCTATGGCGTCGCGTGGTGGGAAAATCAACTTCCTCGGTTGACCAATGACGTATCCATCGGCGACGGGGCTCTAGCGCGCAACGGCGTCTACCGCTGGACATGGCCAGTTCAATGCATCGCGTGCACAGGTCAAGCTTCTCGAAACATCCAAAGGCGAGGCGGCACTGACGCTCAGATTATCCGCCTGGACTTCATAGCAAATGGCAGGCGCGACCGTGGTCCTAAGCTGATACCAGGCTCTAATTCGGACACGTCGTCACTTCCCGACTTCCACCTGCACTCTTCACCTCACACCATAGTCCCTCACTACCTAGGTACACACAGCGGCCATGGCGGAAGAAGCGCAGACAGTCAACCTCAAGATCCTTTCACCCTCGTCTGACTTCGAGGGTGGTGTGAACCTCGCAGACGTCCCCGCTTCCACCACGGTCAAAGAGCTCCGGAGCCGCATACAGGATGCCGCGCCCTCGAAGCCTGCCCCAGAGCGCATGCGCCTCATCTACCGCGGCAGAGTAGTGGCCAACGATGCCGATACACTGAGCAATGTGTTTGGTGTTGACAATGTAGGGCTGTCAACCACGTGCGGTAGACCCACGCTGATGGCGAATACAGCTACGTGAGAACAAGGACCAGAGCCTCCACCTGGTTCTGCGGGAGCTCCCGACTACTGGGAACCCTCCAACGTCACCTACGCCACGATCCGCGACTGTCCCGAACCCTTTCCGCCCTGCGCAAGCCCCGGCTGTACCCGCAAACCCTCTGCAGACGAACCCATTCCGCGTGCTGCCACAGGCTCGACCGCACTCACTCCCACCACTACCACCGCACCACCATCATATCCCGGGCCAAGCAAACGCGGTCCCTATCCCTCTGCCTCTTCCCCCGCAACTACAACAACAGTTCACACAGGCCATGGCGCAACAGGGACAGCAGAACAATGAGCAGACCCCAGACTCGACATCTCAGCAGCCAGGACCAGACGCACCGAGACCCGCAGATGCCGCTCAAGGACTGCCCAATCTCCCTGGAAATGGCGACCAACCACTACGACGCGAAGGCGTGGGTCCCAACGGGGCGCGATGGACAGTCACATACAACCAGGTCAATATACCTGCGCAGATTCGACAGCCCGTTCCTGCATTCGGTCTTGCTCCACCGCTAGCGTTTGGTCGTCCACCGGTCCCGCCAGGCGTTATTCCCTCAATGGGCCACGACAGTACCCAGCGCTTATTGCCACGCATCCAGACAATCTTCCAGGAAGCACAACGCGAGATGGAAAACGTGCGAACCTTGCTGCAGCCTGCGCGTTCATCAGAGACACAGACTGATCGACTTTCAATTTCAAACACCCCTCCCTTGAACCTACCAGTTTGGCGAATCGATCACATCCGCCAACACCTCAACACCATCAACCAGAACTTGAACGTTGTCGAGCGGGCCCTCGCCCTTCTCCCTACAGAACCCGAGGTGGTAGCGTTGAGACGCTCAGTAACCGAGATTAGAGTGGACGCACTAGAATTGAACATCATACTCGATCGGCAACAAGGCGGAAGCCCCAGTCGATCAAGCATGTCCACAGCCATCAACACCCCGATTCTCGGACCTTCTTCTAGCACAATACCAGGCGCTCCGATAATGACTCCAGCTGTGCCTACTACCTCTCAACCACAGACACAGAACACTACTCAGGCAATGCCTGCAGATGCGCCAACGGAGTTGTTTCTCTTATCAAGCCCTCAGGGCCCGGTTGGCGTTCTCTTCGATCAGCAAGGCACATACACCACTGCCCCCATGGTTTCGACACTTCCGTTTCAGAGTTTTACAAACCAGTTTGCTCAGAACAGACAGCTCCTCAATGGACTTGGACAGCAGATAGCACGGGGGAATCCGCCCCCTAACCTCGAGCTGCACAGGCAGCTAGCCAACATGAGCCAGACCCAACGTCGGGACTGGATCCAGAATCAAAACCAAATCCAAAACCAGAATCAAAATCAAAATCAGAATCAAGATCAGAATCAAAACCAAAATCAGAATCAAAACGCGAACGGAAACGTAAACCAACCAGAAGAGAACGATCGTATGGTCAACGTCGCTGGGCATATGTGGCTGATCTTCAAGCTGGCAGCATTCGTTTACTTCTTCTCAGGAGGTGGTGGCCTCTATAGACCTATCATGCTTGGTATCGTCGCAGGTGTGGTTTATCTAGCACAAGCCGGCATGTTTCAAGAGCAGTTCAACGTTGTTCGTCGTCACTTCGAGGCTCTTCTCCCTGTCGGAGCCTTGGCCGAACGCGTGGCTCAGCCCAACAACCAGCGCCAAACGCAACATCGAGGTAACCTATCACCCGAGGAAGCCGCGAGGAGAATTCTGCAGCAGAGGAGAGATCAGAGATTTGGATGGTTCAGGGACAGCATGCGTACAGTCGAACGCGCTTTTGCGCTGTTTGTTGCCAGCTTGTTTCCTGGTGTTGGAGAGCGGATGGTCCACGCACAAGAGGAAAGGGAGAGACTCGAAAGGGTGGCAGCTCGAGAAGAGAGGGAACGCCAGGAAGAAGAGGCGAGAAGCAGGGAAGAAGAGGCCCAAGCACAGCGCGAGCAGAGAGATGAAAAGAAGACCGAGGCCGATCTCGAGCCACAAGATGAGTCGAACGCAAGTGTAGGCACCAAGGGCAAAGAGAGGGCAGCGACAGAGGAAGAGGCCACTGCTCCGGGTCCTTCTTCATGAATTTATAAAGCGACATCATTATACGGAAGTAGCAATGCTCAGACAGATACCCTTGCATGAAGTCAATACATATTTCATTCACATTGCACCCTGGAATATGTCTCATCCGGTGCTACCTACCAAATTTCGGTGCCACATCAGTCTTGTATACGCTCGCCAGCAGCGAGCCATAATAGCTGTAGAGTCTGCCATACCTTCGGTCCAATCATATCTTATTTCAAATCATGCTCCGGTATGGATAACCTCTGTCAGCGGCGGTGCAGAATATTGCGAATGTCTGACCTGGGGCGCGCCTGCCATGTCCAAGACAAGGGTCCATACTAGCGCACAACCAGCTAGCTCACCTCCACACGTGGATTGATGCACCGAGCAGCTCTCCGGCACCTCAATCTCCATCTTCTT